GGCTGTGAGCTGGTGGGAGACAAACAGGCTGCACGCGAGAGCTTTGGGGCTCTCAAAGCAATTTAAGGACACACAGAGCACGAAGTCAGCGCTGTGGGACATTCAGTGAGAGAAGTGCACGCGTGCTACCAGTGGCTCCTCCCAACACTGTGTCTCGGTCACAAACACTGCCGCTACCCCGTGCACAACTGCTGCCAGCTGAGCATTACACAGCCAGGTCCTCAGCCAGGAAAATGCAGCTGGCCCTGCAAGACTGACATCGCACCTGTGACAGATGGAGCACGAGCTGCAGATCTGCAGATAAGGCACATCTCAGGTGCTGAAGGCAGCACGAAGCATCACACAGAACCACAATAGCCGTAGCAGCTCAAAGCTCCTAGCACAGAAGTGCTGACCCCAACTCCATCTGCAACACGTACAGGAACAGAAAATGCTGAGCACGCAGTGGATGGCAGCAAAGTGCTTGTGAGGGGTTGGCTAGCACCTGGAAGAACAAGGCAGACCAGTAGAGAAGCAGCCAGGGGTCTGCTGGGGGGCTGAGCGGGTGCTGCTGTGAGGCACCCACAGACCAGAATGAACAAGGCAGAGGGCATGTACCAGGTGTTAATGTCCCTTGCAGATCACAGCCAGTAACGGTTTTTCTTGCCTTGTTTGGGAAGAGCACTTATTGTAAGCATGCAGTAGCATTTTTGGCAGCCATTAGTTTTGCAAAGCTCTGGAAAGACCCTAAGAACTGAAGCTTCCCCAGCAATTCCCAGCCCCGCCAGCAGAACGCCTGCGCAGGATCTACACACATCTCTCCAGACACTGCCATAAACCTGTAACACCCTAACCATCCCACAGCAGCAAGCTCCATTGAGAAAGGAAGCACTCGAGACACTTTGCTAACTGCAAAAAGAAAAACTGCATAGGCAATAACCCAAGAGATGGATGTAAGGTACAGAAAGGAGCCACAGCAAGCAAGAGGAAACGTAATCCACAGAGGAAGGCATCACTTCAGCAGGAGCCTTACTCCTGTGAAGCTGCTCCTTTAGCACCCTGAAGTCTTTCTGCCAGCTTGAGCAGGCTGCACAGCAGGGTCCCTGCCAGCAGGTGTGAGGTCTTCCCAGAGATGAGCTGAAACACCCATCAGTCAACCACAAAGGAAGCCTGTAATAACACAAGGACAATGGCCTAAATTCTGGTAAATTCCACCTTTGATTATTACAAAACCCTGCCTGGAATTCCCCCTTGGTTTCTGCCAGAGTCACTTTTTGTTGCTGAAGGCTGCTGGAGAGTGCTGCTAGCATTGCAGCATTCCAACTGCCAAGAGAAAAAGCACTAAGTATTCTTCTGGGCAGTGGAGATGGAGGAAAAGGTGGGAGCAAGCAGGCACAGCTCCTGGCTCAGCATTCGACCAGCACAGAGCTCCAACCAGTCTGTAACCCATGCAGGTCTATTCCAGCTCTCAGCACAGTTTTTCATCAGCTCAGGCACAATCATTACAACTTTAGCATCTGGCAAGTAGATATCTTCCAAGAATTTGAAATATCTGGTCTAGAAAACGGCCATCAAAATAAAAACTCATTCAAAAAGTAGTGTTAACTGATGACAATGCTTTCTACATGCTCCAGATCCAGACACCACAGCCACAAACACACAGGAAATCAGCATTCTTCTGCTTCTGAATGCTTTCCCTCTCTTCAACTCCCACTGACCCCTGAGTCTGTCCCTTTGCTTTTCTGGCTGTCACTGGTGAGATTTGGAGCAACAGCTGAAGCGTTGCTCCACTGAGCTCCCACACAAGAATAGAACATCTGTTTTCCTCCCTCAGACTGCAAACAGACAGCCTTTTCGTTGCTTCCACCAGATACTCAGTTATATGACAGAATAGCAAAGCATACTGCATCTACATTAGGGCACACCCCTGGGCCACTCTGGCGTACAGCATGCAGTCAGAAACCCAAAAGGGGTTTCTCAAGCAGGCTACCTACCCCCAGCTGTTGGGGGCTGAGCCAGCCACCCACAGGCAGAGGCAGACTTCTCACCAGGGCACCAGAGCAGCAGGTGCCTGCAGAACAGCTCTGGAGCAGAACACATTCACTCAGCACTACACACTTGCATTGCAATTCAGTTATGTACTTACAGCTTTTCTAACAAGCTATCTAGAAAATCCAGCTACATACAGGCAATATTCCACACCATCCTATACACCTGATATGCCAAGTCTGAAGTGGGTGATGATCATCACCACAGGGCAGCTATTCAACAGAAGGTACCTGGAAGGAGTTAAGATTGCCTTACTGCAGCCCTGCTGGAAGTCTACCACTACAGCACTCTCCCCCACGCCTGCAGCCTGGCAATATCTGGGTCAGGGTCCAGTTGAGACACACAGATGGGCTGATGCTGGTAAGGCACACCCATTCCTGCAGCTGAAGCATTCCAGTTTCCAGGGCTGCTAAACCAGTGAGAAATTTCACAAAAGTCACTGAATTCCTACAGAACAAAATGAAACAGAAGTGCCTCAAGAGAAGAGGATGGAATGTTTCATACCATGCTGCTTGAAGGAACCAGCATTTTCCTAAGGGAAACAAACATGCCCAGATAAAACAGCTGATAGCACAAGACGAAAATCAGTTGGAAAATTTTAGGGACAAGCCACATACATTTACTTCCAGAAATACATGTAAACATGTGAGGCAAATGCTTCCTATCAGTGCTCCAAGGTCTATGCAACACTGAAAAAAAAAGCACTCTTAGGCTGGAGATGCACAAGCAAGCGTCCCTCAGTTCTTGTGGATTAATATAAGAAGGGAATTAATTCAATGTTTAACTGAACCGTTAGCTCTTGGATTAATTATTTCAAATGGAACTTTTAAGAAACAGAAATGCTTCAGAGGAGCAAAAGCTGCAAGCACAATACAAGAATCCACTCAGCTCAGCGCAGGCTGTGCACAATGCTGGCACTCTGGGAAAGCACCAAAGTCTGCAAAGGAATCACCACAATTCCAAAGAGACAGAAGCTTTTCAAGCCTTGGAGCCAGAGTGGAGCTCAACAATAAAATTAGATTGTGGAGGTCTCCAGGGGCTAATCAGTTCAACACGCTCCCATCCCACTGCTCAAATTTAGATCACGTTGTTCAAAGTTACACTAAGCATTTTGTTTTGTTTGAGCCTTAACATTAGGCCTTCAAATGGCAGTGATTTTAAACATTCATTAACACTTGAAACAGTTTTATGTATTCTAGTTAGAAGCAGCCCTGTCCATTTATGAATGGATTTAATGAGCTCCTCTGTCACCAACACCAAGACTTTGCTAGCAGACTGTGAAACAGATTTGTTTTAAGCCTTCTGTAGGCACAGAAACACATAACAGACAACTCTTTGTAGTCCCCCAAGACTCCAGCTATGCGATCCAATCCATAACAATCTTGGATTTCTAGTTTTCTGTAGGTACCAATGACCTAAGACATGGACCAAGCAGCAAGAGCAGGTGTGTGTGTATCAAGTTCACGCCAGCCACAACAGGCACTGGTACATTCCTCACAGTAATGAAAAGGCACAGCACTTTTAGTTTATTTACCTAGGAGGTTTTGTTTAACTTGACAACATCTGATAAAAGTAAGAAGTTCAAAGCCGTACACAGCAATAGGCTCCAATTACTGCTCCTCTCTATCAGTCTGTGTCAAAGCAGCCTGGCTCAGGAAGGATGTCGCTGCCTGCCAGCTCCTTGCAGTATGCGGCACTGAGAATAGGAGGTTGAGTTTCACAGATAGCAACTATGTCAGGCTAGGAAACAGCACTTAGAGAAGCAGGAGTTCAGATAAGGCGATGCCCAAAGATAGTGCCAACACACACAAAATGTTTTCCTGATAACACTGCTCCTGCTG